CAAGACCCTCCAGGGCGCACCCCGTCCCCCAGTCTTGACCCCTGGGCACCTGAGGTACATGAAGACCAACAACAGCAGAGTCAAACACCTTCCCAGCACCCTCAGCGCTCGCTCCCCCAACCGCCCTTAGGGCAGCAGCTGCAGTGGGTGGGTCTGGGTCTCCCTGCTGATGAGGACAATCCCCACCCAGACCCTGGGTGGGCGGTTTCCGGCAGATCAACTGCTAAGGAGGAAAGAATTCCTCCCTAGAAGCCTGGCCTCGGGCTGGGGTGGCGGCTCAGAGGCAGAGCTGGCCTGCCATGTGTGAGGAACAGGGTCTGACCCTCAGCACCACACAAAAATAAAATATTGGGTCCACCTATAAATAAAGAATAAATATTAAAAAAAAAAAAAAAAGCCTGGTCTCTGGGCCCACTGAGCAGCCAACAGAGCAGAGGTGGAAGGGGCCACCTGAAGGAGACGGCGGAGCTCATGGAGCAATGGGAGGTGACCAGAGGAACCCCCCTCACAGCACCGGAGTTTTCACCTCAGACAGACGCGCGAACGAGTCCCGGAGACCTGGGGCAGCCTGGAGACGGCTTCCATCCTAACACACGCAGCCTTCCTGGGGCTCCGAGCCGGGGCCTGGCTCCTGGGTAAACGCGCTGCACAGCAACGCAACTGGGAGGAATTCTGAGCCCCAACTTTCCTCAAAAAAATACTAAATGAAAAACTTCTTAACACAAGGTTTTGCACACAGAAAGGGGTTCTGTCGCTGACGCTTCAGTTGTTTGAACCCTGTTATATGAGACGTCCTTCACATTAACCGAGTTTGAAGATGCACCAGGAGCACGGGCTACGCCACGTTTTCTAAAAGCAGTCACTCTACACGCGCAGGCACCCCCCAACGGACAGGAGGGTGACGGCACAGAGGCCACACACACCTGCCCAACACCAGGCAAGGCCCCTGCAACTAGGGGGAGATGGGGAGCCCGGGGCAGGCGTGGCGTCTTGCAGGTTCTAACTCCCACTGGGTTCCACCCTGTGAGGAGCTACCCGCCCTGACGGGACACCAGTGGTGGCAGCCCATGGATGACCACAGCAGGGCGGCCCTCAAAGCAGGACGAGCACCATCTCAACGTTAGGGACCGGAACGTACCCTTTTCCCTCCCAACTTGACGTCACCACACACGCACTACTGAGCCTCACACAGAGGAGTGCCTTTCTTCAGGTCACCTTCATTTTTAGAAAGCCCTCTGACAAGGTGTGACCCAGGCGACCCCGGTTCACAGGGTCCTAAAAAAAGGCACCCACCCACCTGTCCTGGGAAGTCTCAGAGACACAACTTTTCCAGGCAGAGCGGGCAGTGAGTGCTGGACAGAGAGGGCATGGCCAGCGATGGGCACGGGTGGACAGTGAAGGGCGCAGGCAAAGCCCGAAGTGCTGGCTCCCAGATACAGGCCACACTGCGTGCCTGAGGAAAGCCACACTGTGTGCCTGGGGGAAGCCGATGCCTCAGGGCAGCTACCAGCTGCAAAATGGGCCTGATGAAAGAGCTGAATAGCTCTCCTACACCGGAAGCCCTTACCCACCACTCAAACATGAGTCATCAGATATGATAAAGGACTGCTAACAGCTGCTTAGTGATGCACTAGTCCCCCTCACTGTACTAAAGGCCACACAGGCACTCATGGGTGGCATGTTTTCAAAGGTAAAAAAAAAAATTTTTTTTTGGGGGGGGGGGTACTGGAGATTGAACTCTGGGGTACTGACCACTGAGCCACATCCCCAGCTCTATTTTGTATTTTTTTTATTTAGAGACAGGGTCTCACTGAGTTGCTTTGCACCTTGCTTTTGCTTTGAACTCACGGAAGAAAATCTTATTTTTGAAATAAGGTTGTAACACACATACATTCTAATTTAACTTTTCACAAAATAAAGGAGCAAAACAATAGCAACAAAAACAAACACTACGATGGGCCACCATCCCAGTGAGAACCAGGCGGTCGTGTGAAGATCACAGCGGGCCCAAGTGACACGTCCCTTAGTAGCATGAACAAAGGACTGAAGCGTCAGCAGAACCCAGTCCTGACCCCACACGACGGCTGCTCTTAATGATGCTCTAGCACATGCAATTAGGTGGCACAAACAGGCTTGTTGGTGCAGCCACCTTGGTTCTAGACGCTCCTATAATGAGGTCTGAGCAGCTGCGGATACTGAGTGTGAAGCAGAACCCTTTGTGTGCTAGGATCCCAACCTCTGTGATCAAAGGAAGGAGAGAAAACCAAGGCTCCAAATTGTCCCATAGTCTCAGGAGTGTCCTGCACCCTCTCCGGCTTGGGCTCTCGATCAGCATACGGATCACCAGGCAGGGGCCAAATCCAACGGAATGGCTGCTTAAAGACTGCTTTTCCAGAACGGCAATCGCAGCATGATCATAACCAGCTGGGGTGAAGGGTTGCAAGATCGGCACAGACTTTCCAGAATGGGGATCACACATGAGCTGAGGAAGGTGAGCGCTAAAGTTCCAGCAGAGCACGTCTTAGAACAGCGATGGGCAACAAGCGCTCTGAACTGAGATTTCACAAGTGTTCACAATCTTCAGAGTACTCACCCAAGTATTAAGTTCTACACACAACTGACGCCAGGATGTGTAACAGAACAACCCATACATAAAACAGCACCGCTGCCAGGCACCGTGGCACATGCCCGAGATCCCAGCCACGCGGGAGGCTGAGGTAGGAGCACGACAAGTTCAAGGCCAGCCTCGGCAATTCAGGGAGACCCTGAATAAAAAATAGAAAAGGGCCAGGGATGTGGCCAGACAACAGCATGGTCCCCCGAGCACAGCGTGACTCGAGGGTCTCTGGGAATGATGGGTGGGAGGGACGCTTTCCTTTGTCTTGACAAACTGGCCTTTGGAACTCTCCTCTCCACCCTACCTGAAGATGCCAGTGAAGTGCTTCCTGTGCAGGCAACTGCCAGGCAGGCCTCAGCATTCTGGGGTGCTATGGCCTTCAGGTCTGCATCCCCCAAAACTGTCACGCTGGAACCCTGGCCCCAGCGTGGGGGCCGGCAGGTGGGCTTCTGGGAGGTGATCAGGGCTGGAGGGTGGAGCCCTCGTGGGTGGGAGGAGTGTGCAGGTGGGGATGGCAGCGAGCTTGCCACCTCTCACTGCTCTCTGTGAGGACACTAGAGGGCCACCAGAAAGAGCCCTCCCCTGCCCCAGATCAGCTGCACCTCCACCTCGGACGTCCAGCTTCCAGACCTGAGAGAGATCTTTGTGGTTTCAGACCTCAGTCCATGGTCATCTGCTACAGCAGCCAGAATGGACCAAGACACGGTGTTTAGCGGGGAAGCCCTGTAATCTCACTGTTCCCTGGCATTAACTTTACGATACTTCAGGAAATAAAGGAAAATTCACATTGATAACCACCATAAATGTAAGAAGTAATCATAGAAGAGAATAAACTGACCCACAAGTCAGCTCTGATCACCTGCGCCAGGGACCAGACCTGCAGAAGGTCTGCTGCACCACTTGGCGCTCTGTCTTAGGCCGAGAGGGCCGAGCCCGCCAAGCCTGCTGAGCCCCAGATGGGCGTGGCCGCGCGTCAAGAAAGCCCACGCAGAGTGGCCAGCCAGGCGCAGCTCTGGGCTCTTCCTCTCCACACGCCACATGAGCTCAGACAGTAACCAAACCCTGTCGGAGACACCTCTCGGGAGCCCAGCACTCCCTCGGTGGTTCTTCCCAGGCCTCTAAGGTCCGTGGAGCCGCAAACACCAAGTGACTTGGGGCTGTGGGGGCTTCACACAAAGGCTGCTGCCCACAGGACACATTCCTGGCAGGGCCGGCTGCAGAGTGGGCAGGGGAGGGCAGGGGGACCCCAGGGGCTCTGAGCTCCTTCTCAGGGGAGTCCAGCTTCTTTAGAATGGGCACTGGGAGAGGTGATGAGGAACAGTGAGCCAGGAAGAGTGCAAAGGGACCAATGTGCTAAAAAGGAGGTGAGAGGCAGAGCTGCAGAGGAGCCTGCTGCAAAAGAGGGGGGACACATGAACCTGAGACCCTGCCTTGCTACAGCAGGGAAGTGTGGCACTCCTTCGGGCTCACCCGCAACGGAGCTGGAGAGCCGGGCGGGCCCCGCAGCGCACTCTGGGGCCGGAGGACCAGTGCAGACACTGTGCCAGAGCTGACGGGGTCAACAGGCCCCGATGACCTCTGCACAGCCCAGGAGGCCCTCAAGGGTCCAGGCCTGGCTGGCCCACTCTGCGACAATCCCATCACACCAGAACAGGGGGTACAGACATGTTTCTCCTGGTTTAAACCAGGAGTGGGGGGCCCGGGACTGAATTCCCAAGACATCATCAGAAATGGAACCCCGGCCGGGCCAGGGCACCCTCCTCAAGACTGTAACTCCATGAGAACCTTCCCCAGACCTTCTGACCCCAGAGCCGGAGACCACCCCATGTCATACTCCAGCTCATAACTGACACCTGGCACCCCCTTGTGGACATGAGTGTGACCCCTGGGAGAACCCAAAGCTCCTCCGGGATACTCCCATCTGACTTGTGGCTGCCCCTGCAAGTGGGAGATCGAAAATCAAATGCAATGGCGTCCACGGGTCTAAGTGCTGGACCTCGGGCAGGCCCTGAGTGGCCCAAACCTGACTCTTCTCTCAGCTTAGGTTTCTGAAAGCCCAATTAAAGCCCTTCCCTAAAGACAGGCCTGGAGGCACAATGAGCGCTCACATGGGAAATCGGCCCGTCGCAGGCTGACGGAGCCCGAGAACTGCTACCAGCCAGCAGAGGTTCGCCCAGCCAGGAGGGCGAGAACGTGACACAGAACCCACCCCGGGGCCGTCTTCAGGTAGGCCACTTCCTCTCGCTCCTGAGCACACCACTGACAGCGGAACAGAAGGGGAGTCACCTCTGTCCCCTTGCTGGGCCTGTCACCACTCATGGGCAGAGCCTGTTCTGGAGTGGCACCTGGGTCGCAGAGCTACCAGAGTCTCGGTGGCACTTACCGTCCTGAAAGACCCGCTCCACGTTGAGCCCATAGGTGGCACACGTCTCGTAGTATGTGCACCTCTTGAGGTCGTTGGAGAGCTTCCGCGCTCTGGCGTCATCGATGACCCGCGGGTTCGTGGAACTTATGGCATCTGGAACAGAAGACCAGAGAGTGACAGCACAGTGACAATGTACACGGACGGCTGGCGGGTCTGTGACTTCAGGTGCCCGCATGGCTCAAAGCACACTGACCAAGAACCTGCGTCTTGAAGACAGTTTACCCCAAAATATCAGCTCGAACCCCAGCGCGCCCGTCGCCCTGGCTAGGAGGTCGTGCTACAGGAGAGCTGCTACGCGGGAACAGAACCACGGTCCAGAAGGGCAGGAGGTAGGCGCAAGAGGGACGAACAGCTCCAGAGGAACACACCGAGAACCCAGAGGCCACGCCACCTTCCATGTGACAGCGTCCACGAACAATGCTCCTGCTCCGGGGATGGCCCTTCCACCACTCTCCCCCTGGGTCAGTGTTTACTGGCCCCTGCTAGGTGCCTGGACCTGCTCTACCATGGAGACTCTGTGTGTTCCCGCAGCGACATTCTAGACGGCCAGAAGCAGGGACGACTAGGGGTGTAATGGCCGCCGTGGGGGCCACCTGAGGCAGTTCAGGAGACCCTGGGGTTGGTTGGTTTGTTTAATTCTTTTTAGTTGTTGAGGAACCTTTGTTTTATTTATCTGTGGTGCTGAAAATCGAACCCATGCCTCACACAAGCTAGGCAAGTGCTCTGCCACCGAGCCACAGCCCAGCCCGACCCTGTGATTCTAATGAAGCCACTAGGAAGGCACACCTGGCGGAGGCGGGTGGCCCGACACCCGTGGAGGGAGAGCACCCACACGCCCAGGAAGGTGCGGCGGGGTGGGGGCGGAGGGGGGGCAGCAGGGCCTGCGGGCTGCCTTGAGGTCTGGCTCTCAGGCTCGGAAGTGGGGAGCAATGTAAGGTGGTGTGAGCCACTCAGGGTCACAGAGAGTTGGAGGGTACCTGTGGCATCAGCTCCTGCGGGATGTGGGGTGGGGGCTGAGCAGCAAACAGAGCTGTCGTCTCCTGCCCCCCCCCCCCAAGAAACACCTGCTTTCTTCAGCCCTGCCATCAAGCCTGGCACCCAGCAGGGTCCGCATGCTCGGGGCCACTGAGTGCGCATAGGAGGTGACTGCTCTGTGTCAGAGCCGGTTAGGTAACCCGCACTTTTTCAGGGGGTTGCATGCTCTTATGCTAAGGAAAGCAACTGAGCACTCTCTAAGCGAAGCCACCAGGGGGTTGTCAACCAGCAAAGCAACCACACACAAGCCCTACAAAAGCTGGAGTCCTGTCTGCTTGGTGTGGAAAGTGCATGTGAAGTGTAAGAACAAGACATGGAGAGGAAGCAGGTCATCCATTTCCCCCCTTTCTCTCTCCTCTGTCCCTATTTTACTCTTTAGTCCTGTGGAATAAGTTTGACCTGAGCCTGGTAGGTAAACACCAGAGCATGAGTCAGGACGCGGCTCAACAGAGCCGCTCCATGACATTCCCCAGGTGTTGGGCGTGGAGTAACAGGACACCTCCGCCTATCTTCTTGTCTTATAGATTAGAAAATCTGACTTGCATTGCACCACGTGTAAGGAAAATGGGGGGAAGGTTAGAAACTGCAACTTGAGGTGAGGTCCCAGAGCACCCATCCAGGATCCCATGCTGGGACCCAGCATTCCACATCCCCTAGTCCTGGGTGAAGGACCGGCTCCACCTCCCTGTCACCTGCCCGTACAGGTGCACCAAGCCCACCTGGGACCTCTCGACCACACTCCTCGGCTCGGTCTCATCCTAGGCTCGTTTCTCATTCCACTTTAACCCTGCAGCTTTGCGCAGACCTGGCTTCCTCCTCCTGTCTATCTAATCAGCAAGTCTTTAAAACACGTTCTGCTTAGCAAGCACCAGGCAGCCCTGGCTCAGCCACGGCCCTGTGCACACACAGTTCCTCACCTCCCATGCCCAGTGCCCGTCCCCCTGGACCTCCCAGACCTTGCAGCCTGGGCCAATGAGCAGAGTTCTTCCTGGGTTCCTTCCCCGCCCCGAATCCCCACCTCTAAAGCCACCTACCCCAACCTGCAGGGCAGAAGCTTCAGGCCCTCGCGCACCACCTTTCCTGTTTGGTCTCTTGCACAGCACTGCGAATGCACAGGCTTCAGAGACTGGGGTGCACAGCGGCCTTGGGAGCCCACGCTCGCCCCAGCCTTCTTCACCCAGGCCCCAGGTGCTGGCCATTGGTGAGGTGGGTGAAGAAGCAGAGGGCCTTAGGTGAGCCACGGCCCTAACTTTTCGGTACATCTGGGGTGTGGCTGGGCTAAGGAGAACAGAGCTAAAGTGAGACAGGAGCCTCTTGAGTGCCCAAGCTCCCCTCCAGAGGGTCACCCTGGACAAGGCTCCTCGCTCGGTGCCCACCTGTGGCTTCAAGCCCAGGACTTCTGCTCCATGAGAGCTGCTTCAGTCTCTGGTGGCTGTCCTCAGCCACCTCCACGGACCCAGATGACCTGGGGGAGGCACAGATGATCCCTTCTCGGCTAGGGAAGGCAGCTCAAAGGAACAGACTTATCCCCAGGCACAGGGGCAGAGAGGGATGAGCTTCTGCCAGCCCAAACAGGGCCTCACTAAGCCGCCGTACGTTGAAATACAAGGAACAGCAGCAGCCACTATCAGACACTCATCATGTGTCCACTGGCACACCGAGTGCCCTCCATGAATTCCTGTCCACCCTGCCAGAGCCCCGACAAGCTGTGTTTCAGGCCACCGGGTCACGGCAGATCATGTCGAAGGGTGTGTGTCCCCAAAACCTGCGTCTCACTTCACTCTATTTCACTCCACCAGCAGAAACACTGGTTTGTGTGCAAAGGACACACGCACCGACTCCGAGCCTTCCAGCCCAGCCTGGGAACCTAAGTGCCTCAAGCCTGCAGCCAGGAGGCAGATGAGTCCTAAACACAAGCCTCCCCAAACTGAGTGGCCTCCAGTTGACTGCTCAGACACACCGTGGCGAGCCTCGGGAGCAGCTCATCTCCTCCCCTTCAAGGTAGCTTTAAGCAGAGCCTCCTTGAGATGAGCACCACTTCACACAGGTCAGGCACCTCGGATATGCTAGCACTGCATGCTGTCATCCCTCGGCGGCCACCGGGGGTAGGTTCCAGGACCTCCCAGGACACCAACACTCACTGGTGCCCTGGGCCTTCACTGACACAGCGCAGCACCTGTGCAGAGCCCAGGCACCCTCCTGCGTGCCTCTGGTTGTCTCTGGAGAACTCACGGTGCCCAAAGCAGGGTGAGTGCCACAGAAACAGCTGCTACACTGAGGTGTTTAGGGCACAGTGACAAGGTAAGTCTGTATGTGTCCAGGACAGATGAAATTTCAAAAACATAATTTCAATCCACAGTTGGTTGAATCGTGGATTTGGAACCCAGAGAGTGATGGGCAACTGCTAAGAACCCAGAGCTGTGGAAGGCATAGGGGGAGAGGCCGAGACAGCAGAGGGAGACCACTGGGACACAGGAAGGGGCCAAGTGGGAGGGGGCCTGGGGACAGGGAAGGTGCTGGGCAGTAAGTGTGACCCAACTATGCTAGATGCGTGTACAGATATGCCACAGCGACGCCCACTATGTCGTCATCAACATGCACCAATAAAAACAGAACCCAGGGCTTCTTCCAGGCGTGTCCTTGTCTCCCAGGGACCACTAGAGGGTGCTGCAGGCATGAAGAAGCTCTTCCATCTGGTTTTAGGCCCAAACGGCCTCTTGCTCTGAAGGTTTCACTAATGAGCCCTCTGGCCATTACAAGTGCCAACTCTAACCTTTCTCACCTGCACCCTGAGAAGTGCCCTGGGCTTAGGGCACGCCACTCCAGCTACTCACATGCCCTTCACCGTGACCTGGCGAGAAGACGTGGGTCGGGGCACTGCTGAGCTCGCTCTCACACCTCACCCAGGGAAGCACACAGCATGTTCCTGAACGGTCACACTGGTGCTGCCCAACTGGAGCCCGACATGGGTGCGTGAAGGCACATGTACCCGCTGGTTCCAAAGGCAGTGCCAACAGCAGGCCACACACCACAAAGGAAGTGGATTCGAGTCACTTGATGTGAGCACTTTTAAAATCCCCTGTGTGTCTGACAAAGCCGTTCAGAGTGAGCTTCATCTGATGGGTAAAAAGAAGCCACGGGCCGCCACACTTGGACCCCAGGGCAACACAGCATCTGTGATCAGGAGCAAGGGCGCCGTGTGTGAGTCCACGCAACGGTCCCTTCTCCAAGAGACTAAGGAAATAAGCAGCAGGCCCCCAGTGGCCCCACCCTGCAGGACCACAAGGTGTCAAAAACAAGACGCAGACCATGGGACACTGGTAGCCAGGTATCAGAAGTCAAGTATCACTTTATAGGTGCGCTGAGAGCCAAAACAGGCTTGTTTTTATAAGGTAGGGTCTGCTTAGAAATTAATTTATACAACAAAGAATTAAAATATAATATAGATGGATGTTTTCTAAAGAACTCCGGATGTGTGTACGTGATGAGTGTGTTGCCAATCTATGTTGTGTGTAGTATAGATCCATGTTTTGAGTAGTATGTCAGTTCTCTGCATGTGACGTGTGCTTCTCTGGGTTACAGGTATATCTGCTATGTCTAGCGTGTGTTGTACGTATATCTGTGCTGCGTGAACTTCGTATGCTTTGTGTGTGTGTTGTAGGCCCATGCGGGGCACACGCCCTGGGTCCCCACCTGTGTTGTATGTGCTGTTTATGTACCTAGGTTGTGTGTCGACTGTGTGGCTGTATTGTGCATTTTGGGTATATCTGTGTTGCACGCTGTGTCTATATCTATGTAGTCTGTGTACACTGTATGTCGTGTGTGTGCATAGGCGTGTTGCGTGTGTATCTATACTGTGGGTATGCTGTGTATCTGTGTTGTACATGTATATGTGCCGTGTGTACATCTGGGATGTGTGTTGTCTGTGTGTTGTTCATCTGTGCTGCGTGTGTCACTTGGAGCCTGCTGACGAGCGTCTCCACAGAATCACATCAGGAGTGACAGGTGCACATCAGGGGACCTGCGTGCACTCAGCCCCAGCGCCCTCTCCGCCTCGGCCCACTTTCAGAGCCCTGCACACCACATGGCAGGTGTAAGCTAGGGAACCTCGGCTAGCCGTGCGGGGCACTCACCCTGGGTCCCCACCAGCACGAGCGGCACCTCGCTGGTGTTGCGGTAGTTGGCCATCCGGCTGTAGTAGTGGTACACGGTCTGGAAACTGATCTCGTCCTCCAGGCTGAAGACAAATATGACAGCGTCCACCCACATAGCGAACTGCGGAGAGAGCGGGCGAGAGCAGGAGCTGGGGGGCTCGTGGGGGGAGAGGGCGCGCAGCGCTGGGCCGTCCAGAGCCCAGAGGCAGGCCAGGAACCGCAGGACGCCTGGATGCCTGTGGTGACTTCATCATTAGGCACCTCTGCGTCCTCCTAAGAGCAGAGCCTCCCTGCTTCCCCAGGAGTGGGACCCTGGTCCTCTTCCCACCAGACCCCACGTGGGACACAACTGCACCACTGCCCCGTGGATTCCGAGGCCTGGATGCCCACCCTCTGCCCGGCCCAGCAAGTGCAGCCCTGCACTTAGATGACTAGACCACCTGCCTGGCCTCCTAGGCTGGAGATGGGCACCGAGGGTGGCCCCGGGCTGTGTCCTGCACTGACTCTCCTCTTCAGTCCCTCCAGGGCACCTGGATAGGCTGCCACGCTGAGAGGGAGCGCCTCTTCCAGCCCACAGCATGCCCAGGAATCCCCCAGCGCCCCACTGCCCACCACCAGCCACCCATCTATCAGGAAGGGCCTTTATGCGGTGAAGGTCTGCTGCTACCAACTCGACAGCACCCTGTAAGTTAATCATTACACATCTGTGAGAAGCCCTTGGCTAGCAAACGCCAGGGGAGGGACTCACCGCTGCCCTTTTATCCTCGTTTTTCCTGCATTCAGCTGGCCCGACACACGTGCTCTTTCTGGGAGACAACACACTGCCAGCCCCCCACCACCTTCTATTGGTACCAACCCCCTCGGGAGGCTGTGTGCCTGGGGGTGCCCCACAGCTACCCCCTCGCACCACTAATGGCACAGCGGCTTCCAGATCCCACCTGTCTGGCACCAAAGTCCCTCCTCTTTCCGAGGGAAAATGAAACAAACCTCCAACATCCTGTTTGTCCTCCCTGAAAGAAACAACAGTCCCTCAGGAAGGTTCCGTGGCTTCTAACACAGGTGGGCAAATTTTCTGTAGGTTAAACTCCGACTCCACTTAAACTGAAAAACTACTCAGTTACATGTGAAATGTTCACATGATAAACCTTTTAGAAACCCAAGGATCTAACGAAACATATAAAATTAAATAGGAACGTGGAGCAGAGCATTGTGGGCAGGCCTGAGAGGAAGGGCGGATTCCCCTTCTCTCACCTGGAGTGGCGGTCTCCCCTGGGCACCAGCACTGGAGGAGGGCTCGCTGCCCTGAACGGGAGGCTGAGACCCGCTGAATCACAAGGTCCCTGCTCTCCAGGGGGATCACTCTGGCTGCCCCGGTACTCGGCAAATACCCATCCACTCCAACAGCTTCCCCATTAGAAATTGCCACTTTAAAAGAAAAAGGTACCCGTTTACTGGCCGAGTTTCTGCACTACATACGATTACAGAAGCCACAAGAAGCCCTACAACTTCCTTCAAGAGGCCATTATTGTCAGACAGACAACAGGAAGTGACCCAGAACAACGAAGAAATCCGGAATCCGGTCCTATCTTGATACTCCCCTAAAGGAGATCTTTACTTATTCCTGGAGAAAGCATCTTGTTCTCAGGGAAACTTCAACCCTTTCCCAGTCGGAGGCCAAGGAGACCTCCCGGGGGTCCTAGCCCTACTCCAGCGTGGTGGGGCTGCAGGAAGCCTCAACCCCACATCCTGGCCCCCAGCCTTGGGGCGAGATCTCAAGAGTGCTGCGCCCCCAGCTGGCCTCAGTGATTCCAGGATACCACCGTGAGGAGCGCAGGCATCCCCAGGTGACAAGGTGACAGTGAGCCTGCAGAGGCACAAGAGGAAATAGAGAAGGCAACGGCTTGTGCCATCGTCTCCACTGCTTCCCTTAAAGCAATTCCTCATCTGACTGCGGTGACTAAGAAGGAGACTACTGTTACAACAAATGGCGCTGCATATTCTAGGCATTCTAAACTACATAGAAGATGCATTTTCCAAGGAGGTTAGAGCAAAGACCTCTCGGGAAAAATTCCACTTGAGACAAAATGCTGGGATTTCTCCGGCTTGCAAGGGGTCGGGGGATATGAAAGTAATAGGCGTGGGCTTCAGAATAAAAGCACAGGGAAAAAAGGCTTTTATTTTTATTTTGGACTTTGGTGTGGGGATTGAACCCAGGACCTTGGGAGTGCCAAGCACACACTCCACCCTGAGCTACACCCCCAGCCCCTCAGGAGCTTCTTAGGGAAAAGGCATCCCTAGTAATGGGTGCTGTGGCTCACTCCACCCCGGGACCTGGCCCCACAGACTGACTTCTGTGGGTTTCGATGTCTCTCTTTTGGAACGGCATGACCCATTTCTAGAACAGCCTGTTGAATCAGAACCGTAGAAAGCAGAAGGCAGAACTGGTTTCAGAGCGCTGCAGTACTCACCTGCGCCTCTGGGGGGCCCCCTTCATCTCTAATCAGCAGCAGATAGCTTTGTCCATCAACGACAATCTCTTTCTTGAACCTGCCACCTGCCACACACAGAACACCACGTTATAGAGGAAAACAGGGCGGGAGGAGGGCAGACAGACGTGGGCTTCGCTTGTGGAAAAATACACCCTCGGCAGCGGCCTGGGGGCAACTAGCTCTGAGTATCTAGGACTGGATTTCGGAGGTCTCCCACAACCACTGAATTTTAGAACCGAACTCAGATTTTAAAATGTGTCTTTAAGAACCCAAGCACTGTTTGAAGGCACTGTGCCAGGCCAGGCACGCTGGCTGAGAAGCGTGGGATTTTTTTGTAGTCTTTATATGTAAATTCAGAAATTCTCTCTCACTGGGAAACAGAGAACACCAAAATTGTCATTCTCTTGTTGGGTTCACAAGACAGACAAATTTTTCATGCTTGACAGCTGCCTCGTCCACAAAGTACCGCTAAGTTCAGGGCTGAGAACTTGCATTCTCCTCAAGGGAAACCCAGTTTTTGAGAGGAAACACAGAACATCATGAGTGGGGTCTCCGCGGTCAGAGTCACATCGAGGGAAGGACGCTGGACTAGCACACACGGGTTAGACAGAACTACCGATGGGGCCTCCGTGCGGCCGGGACAGTGGTGCAGCGGGCTGACAAGAGGCGTTAGAGACCACGCTGGGTTAGCGAGACCACCAGGGACCCTGCCGGGGCAGGGGGGACGGGAGGGAGCAGGTTGCCAGGGCTGCCCTGCACACCCAGGCGGCCTGGACCACAGGCCTCCACAGAATAAAGCAGGCCACTCCTGGCTTCCTCCGCCACACCAAAGACACATGGCTTTCGAGATTCCGGGCTGAGTCCACTGAGTCGCCCTCACGGGGACCCTCCATTCCTGTCTGAGAAAGCGGCACCTCCGTCCCGCCTCTCACTGTCAACTCCTCTAGGAAGACACCTTAAGAACGCCACGGGAGCCAGACAACCCAACTCTCCAGGCGACACTGCCAGGCCTCCCCACTGGCCCAGAGACTGTGTGCAGGCCTGTGCCTCCCTTCACCAGGGACCTTCCACCTAGAATCCCAGGTCTGGGCCTCTTCACTGCCCACCAGGCGGAACACAGAGTTCCTGCCCCAACCCCCACAAGTGTCCAGGGCCCTCCAGAGGGAGGCTGCCACCTGAGGCCGGGGCTCACTGACCTTCTTACCCAGGCTTGCCAGGTCCCTGTACCTGCCCACACACGAGGTCACTCTCCCCACACCTGTCCAGCCCTCCAGGGAACCCTGCTTGCTTTGCTGAGTTTGCTCAGAGTGAAACACAAGAAAAACCTCCAGCACTGCAGCCAAGGCTCACGCTACTGCAGAGAGAAGTGGGGTTCAAGAGGGCCAGGCAGACGCCCACTAGGTGAGGGCCGCAGCAGGGACAGCTAGGAAAGACACTGCACCCAGACAAGTCCTCCATCGACCCGCCCCAGATGCAAGAACACCTGGGTTCTTCACGGGTTAAGAGGAGGACAACACCCTTCCACAGTAGGGCTGTGTCCCATCGGACACACCAGACACCCCCTAGGTGTGACGGCCGTCTGAGGTCAAGCACACACACTCCAACACTCTGTCCGCACCCTGGGGCTGCCCCCCACCAGCTGAGTGGCCTGGCCTTTCTCATCCCCCTCTCTTCACCTTGCTCTACCTGGGTGGACAAGGAAACCTGATGGGCAGGGAGTGACAAAGCCCTCTCAAGTGCCCAGACCACGGGGAGCAGCCCTGGCAAGGCAGTGTCACTCACCATCTCCGCCAAGGTCACCATGTCCTCTCATAAAAGACAAACCCAACACAGTGACCCTGGTTTCCAGACTTCCAGCAGAGGCCAAGAAGGCAAAAATGATCTCCCCATTTTTAATTTGCTAAACAAGAGAGGCTGGGCACCTGCTACTTCCTGGTGAGACGGGCCGAATTCAACCTTTCAAGAAAAATGACATTTGAAAAGCCAATCTGTCTCTGTCTCCTTGGGAAAACCTCCTCCTTCACACCAAGACTCTGGAGACCTAGTTAGTCACACTGGCCGGGGTCAGGGGAGGCGAACGGGGTCAGTGCAAGAGTTTACACACCTTCCCCACAACTCTGAGTTCTAACTGTGGGCACAGCCATGGTGAGCCTGCCTGGGGCCATCTAGCAGGTCGGATCTATCAAACCGTGGATCCCACATGGATTTCCAAAGTCCTCTGATCACAGGAAGATGTCTGTGCTTGAAGCTACTTAAGCGATTTCAAGGTAAAACCTTAGAACTCGTCTGGGGCTGCTGGGTCCCCCAGGGGACACTCTGCCTACAGCCTTCCCACAGCAGACTTCCTGGAAGTTGAGAAGCTGAGCAAAGCCAGGGATCCTGGTGGCCAGGGCTGAGCTTCCAAGGCCTCAGGATGGCCTGTCCTCGGTGCTCCAGAAATGCCCTAAGAGCTGGGCAACCGTGCCAGGCCCTCCAAGTGCTGCAGCCGTTCAGACCAATGCTGATCACTCCAACCCACGGGCAGCATGACATCCTGCCATGCCACCATCACCCTCCAAGCTCGGGTTGAAGTCTTGGACTCCCTGACCTCGATATGACATTAGGAGGTCACACTGGCATAAGGTGGTCTAACACAACACGGGGAATGTGGGGACACACACGATGGATGCCACAGGAAGACAAAAGCAGAGATTTCCAAGCCAAGAGACACCCGGTCTATCGGGAAACCATCAGAAGCTGGAGAGAGGTGGGGACAGGTTCTCCCTCACAGCCTCGGGGAACCAACCCTGCCGCGACCCCGGCTTGGACTCTGGCTGCAGAACTGAGCCAGCACACCTCTGTTGTCAAGCCGTCGGCGTGCGGCACCTGCCTGCTGCAGACCGTGCAGACTAACGTGATCTTGCTACCAAGTGCCCTCCTCTATGCACTGGCCTGTGCATGGACACACGCGGTGTCTTCCCCAGCTGCGTAGGCCGTGGCTCCAAATCAGCCAGGCAGCCTGACCTTGCACCTGAGCTTCAGCGCAGAGGGACCCTCCTGGTCGGCAGCACCACACTCCAGTGTTTGCAGAGACCTCATCTCAGTCCGGACTGGCCGCCCCAACCTCTGGTCAAGGTGGACACACCAGCCACCCAGATGCCCATGCCAGCTCTGCACACATCTTCACTCCTTTGGGGACGCCTACTGTCTACAAGCCACCAGGCTGTGCCCAGGGAACATGGATGTCTGTCCCCCCATCCACAAGCACAAAGTCCCAAAGCAGAGACCAGAGGCCACAAAGAAGAAAAAGGAGAGTGGACATGCAGGAGTGGGGAGAAGCCTGGCCAAAGGGGCGGTCAGAGAGGGGCCGTAGACTGGAGAGGGCTGAGTGGGGCAGGCCGCAGGGCTGGGTGAGGACGGCCTGGAGGACGAAGCCAGCAGGTACCTCATCCCTGACTTGCTCTGCATAAGCAATCCCGAGGGTGCCAGCACCGAGGCTCAGGAGTCATCCCGCCCCTGCCCGCCTGCCCTGCCCTGCCCTGCCCTGCCCTGAGGAGACGGACAGCTCTGGAGACCCACTGGACTGCCTGAGCCTCCGTGTCCTCTGTAACATGGGCTTTCCCTCACAGGCAGGCAACCGAGGAAACGCACTCAGAACCTGCGGAGGACCCAGCAGCGGCGGGTCAGCCAGGTCTCCATGCAGAATCCGTCCCCTTCCCTGCTCAGCCCTCAACATCCGGCCTCCAGACCTCTGCAAACCTCCACTGTGGCCTCACATTCTCAGAACAGCCTGTGCTCCTCGGCTGGGTTTCTGCAAGCTTCCTCCTGCCGGCTGCCAGCCTCTGGGCCCTCTCAGACACTGCACATCCAGAGGGTCCCACCACAGCCCTGTCCTGAGCCCAGTCCGCCCCTCCTCACCCCAGGGCTCAGCCTCCCTGTGCAGCCCCAGCTGGCCCCACCCTCCCAGCTGCTCCCCAAACATCAGGACATGTGGGGCCCCCTGCTAGGTCCACCCTCCACCCGGCTTAGCCATCTTGCTTGCTCAGGCTGACCTCACTGACTAGGTGGCCTCCAAAGCAAAAGGAGGGGAATGGAGTCTGTCCCTGGGGACAATGACATTCCCTGCCATGGCAGCAGCCCCAAGGCCTTCAGCACACCTCAGCCACCTCCCTGGGGAGCAGGACCACTGGGCATCAGCGTCCAGCTATCACAGGATGCCAGGATGACGCTCCTCCCCACAGGCACATTGGCACTGTCCATGTCTTCAGGTGCCAGGTGAGCGGTACTCCTGGGTGCTGGGTGATCAGTACTCCTAGGTGCGGAGCCTCAGCCAGGAAAAGCTCCCAGGAGGTGCAGAGCTCCCTCCTGAACTCGGCCATGGCTCTGGCTTGGCAACCCCAGGTGAAGGGCTGCAGACCCAATTTCCACCACCTCCACAAGGAGGGGACTCTGCCCCCATCCGGAAGGCCTCTTCCTGCTCTGAAGTCACTTCCTCCGCCCCCCGAAACAGCATAATTCATCTTTCATTTCACCAAACGCTCAGGCACCCAGACTGGGGAACTGAGAACATGACGCAGGGGCACTCCCGACACAAGCAGGCTCCGCTAGAGTCCATGCTGGCTCCTGGAGAGGCAGACCACAGGGAGCAGGTGCAGGGGGTCAGGTGACAAGTCAGGCTTTGACATCTGTCTTCTCCAGCTCCCCTGAAGGAAAATCCTTGGAGTGAGAGTATCGTTGGTGGCAGAATGGTCCCAGCAGGTCCTGTTGCCCTTGGTGTGGCCGAGTATCCCTTATCCAAGATGCTGGGGACCACAGTTGCTTCAGAGCCTTTTCAGATTTAGAACGTTTGCAGAGACTTCACCAGCTGATCATCCCTAATCCGAAAATCTGAAATGATCCCAAATCTGAAACTATTTGAGCATCACATTAGTTCTCCAAATGTTTTGGATTTTGGAGCATTTTGGATTCCAGATTTTTGAATCACAAATGTTCAATCTGTATTTTAAATTCAAACCTGCCTTCTCATCCCAGTCATTAGATATTTTCCCACCTGAATTTTAGGGAACATACCCAAACTCCATATCCA